CATGACTAAGTGCTTAATCTATTAAGCATTTTAATGGGTTCAAAATGGGGGAGGAGGGGTAAAATGGTCCAAAATAAAAAATGATGTAGGAGGAGTAAAATGGTCCAAAATCATTAAAACGAATTAGGAATCTGTTATAATTGTACAAAAATATTACATGTATTTTGCTTTTACGGATTCTCACTGGTTTTTTCACCTGAAATTTTATAAGTTTTATTAAAAATCGAGTCATGATGAAATATAAAATAATTGATATATACTAAATAATTGTACATCTCCAATAAATGTTCAATAATAGATATACCACATTTGTAATTTAAATAAGGTAAAACAATTAACTATTTAAGCCTTGTACTTTCAAATATAACATCATATTTAAAAAAAATTATGTTTTTTTCTTATTCATATTTTATTTGGCAACAGATAAGCATTTCAATACAAAATGGGGGGAGGAGGGGTAAAATGGTCCAAAATCACAAATGATGCAAGAGGGGTAAAATGATCCAAAATCATTAAAACGAATTAGGAATCTGTTATAATAAGAAAAAAAAACATATATTTTTTTTAAATATGAATTAAAAATTAAAGTATGATGCTATATTTGAAAGTACAACGCTTAAATAAGACAACAACACAATTTGTTTTTGAAAATAAGAATTAAAAGTTAAATTAGGATGCTATATTTGAAAGTTCAATGCTTAAATAAGAAAAATAACATAATTTTTTTTGAAAATAAGTAAAATGCTATTATTTCCAACAAACAACTTTCATGACTAAATGCTTAAGATATTAAGCATTTTAATGGGTTCAAAATATGATTGAAAGTGTGGATCAGACAAGATACAACAACAACACAAAAACATTTCAATACAAATGGGGGGAGGAGGGTTTAAATGGTCCAAAATAAAAAATGATGCAGTAAGGGTAAAATGGTCCAAAATCAGTAAAACGAATTAGGAATCTGTTATAATAAGAAAAAAACATATATATATATATTTTAATTTTGAATTAAAAATTAAAGTATGATGCTATATTTGAAAGTACAATGCTTAAATAATAAAAATAACATAATTTTTATTGAAAATAAGTACCATGCTATTATTATCAACAAACAACTTTCATGACTAAGTGCTTAAGCTATTAAGCATTTGAATGGTTCAAAATATGATTGAAAGTGTGGATCAGACAAGATACAACAACTCGAAAACATTTCAATACAAATGGGGGGAGGAGGGGTAATATGGTCCAAAATCATAAATGATGCAGGAGGGGTAAAATGGTCAAAAATCAAAAAACAAATTAGGAATCTATTATAATTATACAAAAATAATACATGTATTTTGCTTTTTAAAGAACACTATTGATAATGGTAATAAGAGGATGAGTTATTAAAGATAAATCAAGAACTAATAAAATGTATTTTTTTGTTTGTCTAATAATATATTTAACATTCATTTACAAATCTTCATTTTTTTTATTTTTTTTTTGATTTTCTTATTTAACCATCGTACTTTGAAAGTACAATGGTTTAATAAGAAAAAAACATAATTGTTTTTGAAAATATGAATTAAAATTTAAAGTATGATGCTATATTTGAAAGTACAATGCTTAAATAAGAAAATAACATAATTTTTTTTTGAAAATAAATTAAAGTATGATGCTATATTTGAAAATACAATGCTTAAACAAGAAAAATAACATAGTTTTTATTGAAAATAAGTACAATGCTATTAAGCACTTTAATGGGTTAAAAATATGACATTCCTGATATATGTATAAATTCTTCGGGGTTTAGACTTTGAGAGCTCGTGTTGAACCCAACTTCTTGATCATACAAGAATGTTGTAGATACAAGTTGATCCGTATTTAGTGATAAGTACATAATCGCTTTAGATATGGTTATGTCATCCATATTTTGGGAATTTAGTAATGCTTTGTTAATTGACATTATTAAAGACAAGTTAATCGTAAGTAGCCAACTATTGACAAAAGTAAGTGGGTAGATATGAGTATATACCTTTATGAATGGTTTTTTTACTTAATATGAAAGGGATGCAATTGCTGTCATATGGAGTGATGCATCACTCTGGTCTATATCAAAGCTGCAATAAAGTAAACAAAGGGTAAAATAATAATTTTATAACAAAACTTTAATTTAAGAACCAAAAAATGGAAGTACATCTCCTCACATGTAATCCTTATAAGCCTTTTTGTAACCGATTTGAGTCATGTCATTGTAAACCTATGAGGAGTTGAGCAATGAGTCAAGGGTATAATAGTAATTTTTCCAACATAACTTCAAATTAATCATGATTTATAAAATATAATATAAATTCTTACAATTTCCCATGATCTTGGATGAAAACCCACTATGAATCCTTCAAACACTCGTAAACCTAGTTTCTCCTTACAAATATTATAGTATATGAAATATGCATTTGTAAAAATATGCATATATGTACCTAAAATGTTGATTTTTTTGGTTAAAAAATTATAGAATTTTTTAAACATTCCAGTTTTTATTTTTTTTTTTTATTTTTTTTTATTTTGGTTTTTAAATGCTTTTAAAAAATTGCAATTTAAAAAAATATATTTTTTCAATTTATTCTTCAAAAATTCATGTTTTCTATACAAAAAATTAAAAAATTTGCATTTTTTTAAAAAAATCGAAAAATACTACTTTTTAAAAAATCCGAAAATTTGATTTATTATGTAAATTTTTAGACATTTCTATTAATATTTCTAATACCACAAAAAATTAAAGATTAAATGAGATTGGTAACATGACGATCATGTCCTTAATGAATTGATTTTGATCTAACGCTCCACTTTTAGTTCTCAGAGTTTTCGAGAAACTATGAGTTCACAACCGATCTTTTATATATATATATATATATATATATATATATATATATATATATATATATATATATATATA